CTCGCGACGAAGCCGCTCGCGGCGCGTTTCAAGGCTGAACCGTCTCTTCTCTGCACTCTACCTACACTCTACGTTCTACGTTCTACACTCTTTTCGTCCTCGCCAAAGACGAAGCATCTTCTCCTTTCCCCTAACCTCGCGCGCTCGCCATCTCTCTCTCCTTCTTCCTCTCTCTGGATCTATCGGTACGTCCGCACGTCCGTTCGTCTTGCTCGGTTCGTTTCCTCTGTGCCGTTCGTTTCTCCTCGTTCCTCTTCGTCCACGTTCGTGCACGTTCGACCATGTTCGTCCGTGTTCGTGAGTCGCGCCACGACAGTACTATCCTATCGCATGACTCTGCAGCGTTACGCAACTAACAGAAGGCTAGATAGGCGACGCAAGCCGCGGGGGTTGGTTGCCGTAGAGCTGGAAGAGCGCGCATGATCGCCCTACAACAGTGGTACTCACCGAGCTATGCTCACTCTTTCGCTGCCATGCCGATCAAATTCTCGAAAGTTTGCTCGTGCCACGGTCAAAGGGATTCTTCGAATATCGTTTCTCCTCCGTGTGTACATCGCACGAACGAACGATCATGGAATGTGCACGCAATATGCGTTAACCGCAGTTGGTAACAGTTGGTTTTTCCACTTGGAAATCGGTGTCGTTCGAGACAACGAACGCGCGCGTCTTTCTCGCTGAATCTTGGATATTTCCACTTGCTCGACCAATTGCTTTCCGTAACGACGCCGTCTCCCTCAGTCGGTTCTTCCTACGAAACCAATGTCTTTCCGATGTGCATACTTGAATTTTAAATTACGTATATACTTCAAAGGACGGTCGTTAGTCGAACGAATATTCAAAATGTTATACTTAATTATTTATTCGGTACGTTTACCGTCTAATTTCGAATACGAAGACAATGGAAATCGCACACCGTGAAAGTCTTTGCGTTCCGCTTCCATGAACGTCAAATCGTATTTTAGTATCAACGAGTCTTTCATTTCCCAGAAAACGCTGACTCTTATTGTTACTAACGCGACGGATTAAGACGTAGAGTAGCAACGGATAATTTTCGCGGTGAGTACCACTGTGTTACGCTACCTTCAGAGGCGGGTGTATACACGCGTATTCAATATACATACATACATATATTCCCATGGAATACGGCGCACGTAGTCGTGTCGCATCTATTTGGAATCGTATTAATTTATGATCACAAAATCAGCAAACGTAATTGTAAGCGTGGTCTCGTCGTTCCAATGTATGTATTTACGCACGAACTCGTATCTACTTAATGCGTATGTAGGTATGTGCTTGTAGTAGGTATGTAGTAAATATGTACTTGCATCATGGCTGTAGCGCTATGTCAGGACATCTTTGTGCGAACAATTCGACTATTTTTCTGTCCAGGGTCACCTGTCTTTTTCAATAGCGAACAATTTCTTCTGTCGATGATTTGTTCCTTGGTTTCGAGATTATTTATTACCCATACGTACACCGAGACAAGTAACAAATATAGTAAATTAGAATGTTTATTACCAAAGGGCAGGAAGATCGAATGGAAAATTTTTTATAGCAGAAACCGGTGGTGATCTTGATCTTATGTTCTTCGCGCATCCTGTTACAACGCGATAAGAATCTTTTTTGCTTATCGTGCTCGAAGTAAGGTAGTGGCTTAAGCAAGTTCTAATCGGACGAACGATTCAAAAACAAATCAGCAACTCAGCACAGTGAAATTTATCTGATAAAATTATACACTTGGATTTATTTAGCGACAATATACCTATACAAGTAAGTAATATTTCATCGTTATTTTCGATTCATCGCACGGGAAGTTCGTTCGAACACACGTATACTTACCTATATGCCAGACGCAACATTTTGAGAATCGCTTCTCCGATCACGACGTAAAAACAGCTCGAGCGTTCAGCGGCGTTAAAAGAACGAAATATCGCTAAGTCTATCTTGCGATTACGTAAGAATCGCCAGAGAGTACCGCCTGTGTATATTTACGCGAGTGTATATGTGTGTACGCATTCACGTCCAGGCAGAGAATTAGTCCGAAAAGGTCCGACGTGGCCGGAGCAAAATCGTACAAAAATCTTACCACGTCTCGGCCGTTGAAATATCTTCGTTGCGAAAACATACTCACCGTAGATATGCTCATCGTCACTCCGCCGCAATTCCTACCTTTAAAAACCAAATGAACGACGTGCGTCGTATTTTTGAAACATTTAGAATTCCAAATATTGAAATTGAAAATTAAAAAACTTAAGCGCCACGTCATTCCGCTAACGCATGATACGAGTTCCTATCGTACGTGTATCATATTTGTTTACTGTACGAAAACAAAATATCCTTATCGATAAGTATAGATCCTCAAGAGTAATCATTGTTTAACGAGTTTTCACCAAGGACGAATACTCCTCCAACGCGAAGATTCCTCTCAGACACGCCGAATAGTATGCAAAACCAAAGACCAGACCTCCTCGCGTGAAGCGACGAAATACCGACGCATACACGGTATTTAAGAGACGGCTAGAATCAGGCGTGTTTCAAGAAATAAGCGTTTTTAGCGGAAGTGCCGCGGTAATGGGGAGCCAGGGTTAACGAAGTCGATGCGCGTTTAATATCGGCTAGGAAGTTGGTCGAAGGACGGAGGAAGAAAAACCGAAAGGTGGAATAATTACGAGGAATAGGCAGCGAGAGAAATTCGTCCCCATCGATGCTCGTTAAAAGAGAGATCGAGCTGCGTTGCTCGAAGGCCGCTGCTGCCCTCTAAAATTAACGATGATCCACCGGTGCGCGAATTCACTAGGGCGAAAGTCCGCTTCCTCCGAAAGGGTCCGCGCTTCCGTGTAGCGGCAGATTCGCAGCTTAGAACGTTCGTTACGAACGCTCGCGGGTCGGCCTATCCCTGCACCTGTCATTCTCTCGGAGAACACGCGAATGTTTTCACAGTCGATGATGTAATGCATCGTTTTTACCTTGCAAACGCGTGCCTTTACGAAAACTGTCAGGTATATAGGTTAGGAATCTCGAAACTAACGACACGTCTTTCAACTCGATCCGATGTGTTTCATCTTGCAGAAGGTAGAAATCGTTGTTCCTTTTTTTGCTACGAGATTCTATCGAGACCGAAGACACTGGTCTTAGCAACAGAACGCAGAGAACAATCGAGGATGAGGAAAATAAATGTTTCCAGCAATTCCTGCGAGGAAAATCTCGGAAGTACGAGTAAGCCGTAATTACACCGGATCGCAATAACGATAGGAGGTTTCCTACGCTACGATTTCAAGTCCCGTGTCAAGGGGGTCTGAAAGTGTTTTCGACGCAACAACGTAATCGCCCAATTTCTCGCAGGTGTTTTGTCGTGATTCAGATATTAATTCTCGAAGCGAATCTCAAACCTAACCCCAACCTAACCCTAATCTCCACAGACAGTATCGTTTCAGGCGTTCTGAGACGAAGTTTCCTTTAGACTGTGTAGAGATACGCACACGCAGGAGAAACGAAAGAAGAAGCAGAAGAAGAAGAAAGAGTTTCGATGACAGGCACCAACCGTCGTGGCATCGTTGAACGAAAGAATATTCTAGCTAGATCGGTGTACCATTTATGATTGGTGAGGCACGGTGATAAGGGTGAGATAAAATAGCGGGCGGTCGATCGGTGAAAAGAAAGGAGCGAGCAGTAGGCCAGCAGACTCGCGACGATTAGGCTTGCGCGGTATGACGGCCGAGTCGTTCGACCTAGTTCGTAAAATAACGCGACGGAGGCGTACTTACCGAAATGTAGGACAACGGTATTCACGCGCAGGAAGCGGCGCAATTATGGATACGCGAGAGAACGCGAGCGGTCGCGCACGCGTGATTCTAACCTCCACAATTGCGCCTCCTGATGCGACGCGACGGCACTCTCGTTATGGAAAAATACGGCTGCAACGCTGCTCTAGCCACAACGGACACCCAACAGGTCTATCCGCATACTCTGAAATTTTCATGGCTCGATCGGCCAGACGAATGTGTCTGTTCGTCTTCGAAACGATCTTCGGGACGCTTGGCCATCTCTTCCTCTTTTATTACTCGCGTTTCCGTGCATCGAGATGCTTGTTCGTTTCGTATTTTGTATATACGTTACGTGCATTATGTGAGGGTCAAAGGTAAAGAAATACGCGTGGAAGGAAGAATTTGGCCTCGAAAATACAGAGCACGGCAGATGGGAACATTGAGAGGAGGAGGAGGAGGAAAAAGGTAGTGGAGAAAACGCCGCGGCTAGCGAGAAGCGAGGAACGCGACCCTAATATTTAGCTCTGCGGAGATGAACGTTAAAGTTGATCCAGTAAATTTACGCGTCCGTTTCATAGATGCACTGGCCCAGTTTGCAGCGGCTATGAAAGCAAGGGATATTGCGAAGGGGGTTGGAGAGAGGGCGTGATATCTGTGTCACGGCACAAGCGCCGTACTCCGGCCGAGTACGATTCATAGCGATGTTGTTGGCCCGCTTAGGAACCGCGCGACCATCGGCGGAATGCTCCACCATCGACGATACGCGTCGTTCGTCTCGATATTGCTGTTCCTGCCTCGATTCTTCCGGATTGAGCGTTTCTTTCGCAAGATTAATCGAGTCGAAGAACGAAAGGAGGAAGTTCTCGGCCTTGACAGTACACGATGAATCGCCCTAGGTTTGCCTCATCGTTCACGCCGCTGATCAATAAATAACTAGACATCGTTACGTTTCATCGTTGGTAGACCTGCTAATCAACCGGATTGCCTACCGACGCGTAGTCGATGAACAAATTCGAGCTTTCCCTTCGAAATAGATCTGTCAAGTCGATTCGAATTTTCGAAGTTAAATCGATCGCCTGGAATATCACAGATGGTACAGCGAAACGATTCTCTTCGATCTTTCGGAAGAGCGTCTAACCTCGTTGAGAAAGAATTCGGTCGATGGATCTCTGGAAATCTGTTTCTCTGTGTCGATTCATCTGTTCGACCCTGCCACGATAACTCGCTCTCTAGTGGAGCGCTTACGTAAGAAAGCCGTACCTACCTTCCAACCCACCTCCTGGCTATTCAAGGGATCAAGGCAAACCGGTAGGCCGGCAGCCTAGCAGGCAAGCAGCCAGGCAGGCCAGGAGAATCGAGCAACCAGAGAGCAGCTAGAGAGGAGGCTGGCTGGCAAGCAGGCAAACTAAGATGCAGGTAGGTAAGTAAGTAAGTAGGTAGGTGGGCACATGCGAGCGCGCGTGCGCGTCCACATACCCTTTGATAAACCTGCCAAATGGATAGACTCTGCAACAACGGAAATACCTCTGTCCCTCCTCCGACACTAGCGCGCCCTCTCCTTTACTATCTTTTACGTTTCCTGCTCCACCTCCTTTCGCTCGATTCAAGACTATATTATACTCGTGCGTCGTCGATCCCAAAACGGTCGGTTATTTCGTTAGTTACATCGATCAGCGAATGACTTTTCTTTTTTTTTCTTTACAGAAAATCTTAGAAAACAGCGTTCAAGTATCCTTGAAATTTCTGCTTACCGACGATGAAGCAGCGCCGCTCGTTAGTCCAGCGCTATTTTTCTTTTCTTCCTCTTCCAACTCCTCGGTTCTTAAAAATTCTATCTCACACACACGATAATCGCGCCATTATAGCACGCATTACGTAACCCGCCTCGGTTTCCGAGGATAACGAGCAATCCCGGCGAGGGAAGCCAGAGATATAATTGAAAGACAGGTGAAGACGCACAGCTCGTAGGGGTGCTAATGAGGGATATCTCGGCAGTGTCGCTCGGGGGAAGTTGTTTGCGAAATAAATGACGCGGGTACTATCGTACTTGGAAAATATCGCGCGTGAATATTCGCCACGTACCATGGGAGCAATATCGAAAAAAAACTCGGACGATATAGAAAAAGGAGAAGAGAAACGAATGTATCATCTACGTCGAATGTACAGGTGAAACTTGCACGTGTGGAAATGCACTTGCTATTAAACACGGTTGTAACCTGTTACTTACGCGAGGCAGAAACAGCAATAACTTTTGCCGTTCATTAAAAAAAAAGGACACCGGTTGGTTGCAGTTGAATGAATGAATCCATACATATTATTTATCGTTCGATTCGTAGTGCGTATACCGGATAGCGCTGTAAGCCAGTTAACATGTCGTGATGGTAGATGGAGGGACTGTTTATCGGGAAACATTTTAGTGGCTATAGCGAGTAAATTGTGCCGTTGTTCCGCGAAATCAAGTTGCTCGACATTTATTGTCTCATTTTTGCGGAACGAGCAGCCTAGTAGAGGAAATAACGTCGTCTAAGACGTATCTGCGAGAAATTCCTCGTATGATGTTTAGAGAGATAGTCGCCGTGAAATTTTACAAGGCTACGTTCCACTAGATCGCGTGAGCATTATTCGTTCGACCATCGATTACGCGAGCGTTGCATCTTTCCGTTTGGCGCCACTATCTTCGTACTCGGACTTGGCGATACACTTTGCCAATTACTTATCTTTCGAGATTAGCGAGCGTAAATCCTGTTCTCTTTTGTCAGAGTGGAGAACTTGGTACATACAGACACACTCACGTTTGCCGCTGTAGTGGAGTTTGCAGAGCGTATCAGAATGTACAGAGGCGGCAAGTTTACACGTACGAGAACGAGAACTCCGGCGGTAGAACGTCGACCAGTAATTAGGCCAGTGAAACAGGTCGATCGATTTTGTCCCGAAAAAGCTCACGCTCCAAAAACCTATTTAGTTCTAGACAAGAGAAGGGGGAGGAGGGGCTCGCGATACGTCTCGGTGACTCAGCCCGCCTCTCTGCGCACACGTATTTCTTTCGATAACCAGTCGTGTTCCTTTGAATTCCATAATTATTCGTTACGCGTAACACACGTATCTGTTTGACCGTTGAGTTCCTTCAACGGCTGCCATGTCCCATATTTGTAACAGGATCTCGTGAAAAGAAAGGCGAGAGATCGATACCGCTGATAAACGTCTTCTTCCATATCTAATAAATATAACGAACGTCGGACATCACAGGCTACGTATTCCAAACGAAAGTAACATCAAAGAAAGATATGAAATCGCGAACGCTTCGAATCGAAAACTTGGAAACGAAGTCTAAACGGAAAGGAGAATTTCGTAGACCTAACGAAGATGGATAGAAGGTGGTACTTTCCATCGTTTCGCGAGAATAACGTGTCACGTAACGGAAAACGAGGAAGGCCGATTAAGAAAGACTACACCAAGACGCTAACGAGCGGCGTGATTGCGCAATTTCCGGGAAGAAACAATCGCAGCGAGGGAGCTACGATTTTTCTTCAAGGAGCAGAATGGCATTCGTCCTTGAAGCGCCCTTGATACTGGCTGTGGAAGCTAAATCGGCCGATGGAAAGCCGTCGGGTTTGGCGAGTGTAGGGCGTGGTCTAGCGAGGCACCCGGTGACCTCCTAGCCAGCTAGGCGGCCATCTTTGAGCATCGAGTCGTCCGGGCGTGCTGCGAGGGTGAAAGTTGGGGTGGGTTTTCGGTGAGGATAGAAGCACGAACAGGCTGCTTCGTAAAATCCTCTCTCCACTGCGTGGCCTCGCTCCGTCAAAGGAGACGCCCTCTCCCACGCCTCGCAATACTTCCTTCTCTTTGCTCTCTTCTCCCTCGTTCTTTCTCTCCCCACCGGAAGTTCTCGCTTTCGTTTTCCTTTTCCTCCGTTGCTTCGTTTCGCGCCGCTTCGATCACTCATCTCGTCTCCTCAAATGCTTTTGCCTCTGCGTAGATACCATTTCCATTGTACGATTATTGTTTTGAGGAACGTTTCATCGGTTCAAACAATTAGAAGATGGTGCCGATTTTTCAACCTTCCGAGGAAACATCTTTGCCGATACATCATCCGGTTTATCGTACTTTTCGCTTTATCAAAGCGAAGATCTATGTTTCAGCTGTTTTCAACATATTTTCTCGAGTTTACGAAGATACGAAGTTGGGGATAAATCGAATCGAGATTTATATGTTTCTATACGATTGGATCCAGTTCACGCGAGAAGAGTTTCGTACTCGCAGAGGCGGCATCGAAAAATAATTTACCCGTCGACGTAGAATTGTCGCTTCTATAGGTGTCGCATCGTACACAGTCGCAGCTTGACGATAAAGCCAGGATCTAGTCCCAGGAAAAGGCAAGGGAACAGCAGGAAAGGACTTTATTTCTGGCGAGTTCGAGAGACAAGCTATATATCGCGATATATCGACGATATTTAAAATTTAGCTGACCGATGAAAAATGTATGAACTTCGGTACGGACAATCGTAAAGTTACACGGTCGATACACGGTCACGAGGATAAATGTAATCGTCCGGATAAAACGTTACGGAGCCTAGCAACCTTTGACGTAGCGATACGTGTTTCGTTCGACGTTCGTAAATATCGTGACGCTAAAAGGTAAGACATTTTTCCTTCGCTTCTCCCTTTTTCTTCCTCATTTCTGTTCGCGGCATAGGTAGAAAAAATTTCGCGGCTACGATGACGCCCAATGAACGAAAAACGCAGACGTTTGTCGAGTGTCTCAAAACAGGATACGAATCCCGATGGGGTGTCAACGGTTTGATATACTTGTGGTTATACAACGCGTAATCGAATTTCCGACGATAGCCATACTCTTCTTATTTTTCTGTTTCTCTTTCTCCTCGGGCCATCCTTTCTTCTTCTTTTTCTTTTTTTTTTTTTTTCTTGCCACTGCCGTTCTATGCATTGTCGGTATTCTACTGACGCACTTCCGGAAAAGTTCCTGCAACGTAAATTCCGATGAACCGTACTGCGAAAGCTCGATGCACGGCGAACCTCAGCGCACGTAGAAGCATGGAAATGTATACTGACATTCCTCGATGAGTAAAATACGAGGAAACCGATTTCTTCGATAGAAACGTTATCGAAATGCAAAATCCAACGATAGGCGGACGATAGCAGAAAGAACTCTAGAAAAATCGCATGTAACGCGTCACGTTTACCTTATAATTCTTTATGCGCTTGATCATTGTTCCAGTGTCGTAGAAACTTAGCCTGCTTCTCTCGATGGTTGCTTACTTGTAGAAGAAGCATCTCCCAGTTTTGAACGGCTATATCTCGTTACGACACTTTTAGAAAGCACACTTTTGTGAACGAGGCTGGTTAGGTCGGTCTTTCTTGCGTAACGCCAATTTTACGGATGCGTGCACGATCATTAAAATTCAAGTTCGCTCCAGGTAACGCTCGTTTCAGGTAATCAAAATAGAAATTTCGCGTGGGCATTAATCGCCTCGGATAATCCCACAGCGACAGCTTATACAAACTTCGAAGTAGCGATGGTTCGAATTTAACTCTCGACTTAGCCGTTTTAAAATTATGCGCGTGATTCGAGTCAAAAGGAACTTGGACGTGTAACTTTCTATTTCTGGGCATGTCTTTAGTTTTCGTAACGAGACAACGTCCAAATCGTTAAAAATCACAGTGACGAGACGTGCAAACGGATTGGAAACGACGATTTGGTAACGGAAGATGCGGTAGTCGATTTTCGTGCAACTTTATGAAGCGGTAGTTTGTGTAGCGTATTGTAAAGGATCCGAAGCTTTCTGTTCTTTTTCGCTTGTTCAAGGCCTGGTTGCCTGGTCTACCCCACCGCTGAATTCTCATACTTATATCACATCACGGTTTCGTTCTCCTCTCCCCCCTCTGTAAGTTTTCTACGTAGAAAGACCTCGGTCGTTCTCTCTTCGCTGTTCTTCCATTCTCCGTTCCTCCCACTTGCTCTTTAGTCGCCCAGGACTTCTGTGTGTCTAGCGTTGGTCGTTCGATTCTGCCTCTTAATTTCTCTAACAACTTGCATCTGATATCGTTCGTAAGATCGATCGAGAACTGTACAAATGTTCCCCTTTCTGCTTATATACGAACGAATAAACGCAATTTACCGTAAGAAACTACAATGAACGAGACGCGTTATATAATTTCTTTCCACGTGGTTTCAGCTCGATAGATTTATCACTTTCTACCAAGGTTGCGCACTACGTTTCTTCAAATTTACTACACGTCGCTGTTTGAACTAATCGAGAACTTGTACCGTTCCGCGTGGCGGAAAAAATTCGAAGCGTCTCGAGGCCATCGCTAGCCATGTCTTCCTTTTCATTCTCGACCCCCCTCCTGTCCGCCACGCAACACACTCTTCGTCTTTACCCGCTCTTCGTGATGATCCACGATCTTTACGGATGCCCCTTTCCCCGCCGTTCAACCGTTTCGCAATGATGTCATCCACAACATTGGCGCAGGCAACGAGAATTTTCAAACGACGGAAAGTAGAAAATGAAGTCTGACGCCTCGACGATGTCGCTATGGAACGAGTGCTTTTTATGTATATTCCACATATGTATATAGATAAACAGATGTGCGACTATCGTAAATGTTTCGCCTAAAAATTGTGACAGTTAAAGCCAGTTGGCGTATATAATGAATAGCGTGGAATTTTCGTCGCTGATGTTATAGAACGTGCGAAAGATGCAGCGAGGACGGAACTCGTATTTAGCGGATTAAGTCGAAACCCGAAGAAGACGAGCCAAGTCACTAGCCGGCATTGTTTCGGATTATGTATTTGATGCGCGTAAAGAGGTTTAATCCTTTACCGAAGCGGTTAACGAGATTACCAAGGCGAGGGTATAAACGTTCTAGAAATCTGTATAACCTTTTACCATGTTGATACGTGAATTACCTAAAAAAATGTTAGCCGCAGATTGAACTAGAGTGGTGTGGTCTTTTAAAAGAAGCAAATGAAGTTTTCTGATTATATATATATATGTGTTTATTCTTAATATTGTTGCAGAAGATTCAAGTTTATAAAACTAACGCTTTATTACAAAAAACAATTCTCTTCTATCTTACATGCGCATGCATAGAACATCTTACTTTACATGTACGTATATATTTATCGTATTGCTTGTAACAACAATCTGTATACGCCTACGGATATAAATATAAACAAGTAATTACATACACGTATATACAGTCGTATTACTTCCGGTGGAATCGCTATATTTAATAACAAGCGAATGATATTAGACAAATTCGGTACTTTGCCAACATCGAGATGCACTACGGGTTTGTGAATAAAAATAATCGTTATTAGATTGAAAATTGTAGAAATCAATAGAAATAGCAATAAATCGGGAAGTTCAACTATTCGAACGACTTTGATTCCATGTGTGTTTCCTCGGACTCAGGTAGAACAGCACGCTATAGGCCATGGCGAAGCGGATTCGAGGCCAACGAGTAAAATTAGATAGCGCGTGAATGGAATTCGAGCCAATCGAGCAATCCCAAATGGAAATGGAAACGTTTCGGTTACTATACAAAAGATGGCCGAAATGCGGTGGCGTCTATAAAATGGCGGTTGTTGACCACCCGCCACTTGCGTTTTTGCATGGGTTTTAACCAATACTTACGGCTTAGGATCCTTCTTTCCCAAGGCCATTTTCCAGTTGCTTTTACGACCCTCCGAAGTCGACCAATGAAATTATGTACCTCCTTCCGCTACCATGTCCGAAACGAACCAATCATGCTCGAGTTATGCTAAAGTGGTAATAACCAAGTGATCGAACGAAAGCAAAAGTTTCTTTGAAAGTTTTGTAAAAGAAGGAAAGAAGGTTCAAGTGCAAACATTTAAAGATTTATAATGCACATTGTTCGGTAATAGCAATGATTCAATGTTGATGGTACTGAAAGAAGGAACAAATCTGGTAAATATTACGATATCGGTACAAAATACATATCGATACTACAATCTCGATAGCGGTACGTGTGTACAAAGTAGCACAAGGCAAGCCAGTCCCACTTCCCTTTCCTCCTAGCATGTACGTGCGCACACGGTATATCTCGTTCGTTCCATCATAGTCTCCTACCTGTTCATTCTTCCTAAGGAGTGGTAACTTTCCAAACTTTTCGCTTGTATATGCATACGCTTTTTACGTGAAAATCGTGACAAGATATGCGATAATCCCCTTCTGACAACTCTGATCCGATAAAAACATCGTAAACACTTTTTTGTTTCACGGCCTTCAAGAAAATAATACATTTTGAAATGTAATGAAACAAAGTGTTTGTTTATCTACGCAAAACAGTTAAATAGTCAAACTATTTTTTATGATTTTTCATACGAGAACTACACGTTGGAAATCTTTTTAAACAATTATTGCATCGTACCATTAAAAATATGCATCCAACGAATTTCTCAAAAATAAAAGAAATAATCGGTACGAGGAAGCAATAAACTTGTTCAACCTGCGAAGAAGCATCCATAAAGAGTTAAAAAAGGTACGCTCTTATCCACTTATTATGTATATGAAAAATGACAACGCAGAGCTTTACGAAGAAAGAAAAAATGTAAGCCCATAATCACCAGCAGCAATACGGTACGCGGTACGAGGCCGACGGTGTTTGCTAAGTTACGAAAGTAAGCGGTTTTAGAAAGTACAGAAGGCTCGAGGTGAACGGCGCTCTAACGGCAGGGATATTGCACAGCAATTACAAAGTGGCTTTGCAACGACGATCGAGACCGCGTTACTCAGCTGCTACGTAAGACAATTCGACGAAGCAGGTGTACCCATTCGATTTACTACATATTCATCTAAATCCTACCGTTAAGAGAACGTGCGTGATTTTAAACGCTACAATATTTGAAAAAATTCCACCACGCTTCTACGTAAGGATGAACGCGATTTTACGAATGAAATTTTCCGGCCGACGGATGTGCACTGTACTTTACGCTTGAAACGAGCGGAAGACTAATTTGCGTACGCTCACGGCTGCGTTCGACTATACACGCAGCTGAAAAAAGACAGAACGATGGATAGGAACGACGATATGCTTGAAGAATGGTCAGTACTCGCACAGTGTTTTCCATGATCCCAGAGCCTTTTTAACAGAGTACATTACAGCTGGGGGAACACGGTTTTCACTGCTGAGCCCACGAAACCAATGAATAATCCCACGCACGTATGCAGAATCTTCGTCGTTTTCCTGCAGCATACCCTATCGTTTCCGAAATCTTAAAAAGTATATAAAGGTGCGAAAGGATAAAGTAACGTGATATCTTCTTGTAAAAGTGGAGCGTGTTCTATTGACGTTGATAGAGATGTGTCGCGAGGTCGATAGGAGAGAGAAAAAGACTGACTATCGTAGCACAGAGAGCCAAGCCAGTTTCTCACCCCCACTGACCTAGCGACCGAGAAAAAGATCAAGGTGTTGTTGCGTCGGCAACGGGCGAACCATCGAGAGCAACGTCGAAAAAAAGTACTCCTTCTTGTCTACCCTGCACTCTCCAGACGTTATCTTCCACCAACTGCCGTAACAAACGTTAGATCACACACTGGCCCAGCGAGAGCAGAGCCACGGTTTGATCACGTGACGTTAGGTTGCGTCACAGTTGCCCCTCTCACCACTCAACCAACGAACCAACCGAACGACGAGACCGCCATCTTTACCCACTGATAGACCAGAGGAATACGGACACGAGCACCGTCGACGTATGAACGTTTCCTTTCTTTCTTTTTTGTCATATGCACGGAAGATAAGTTTCTGATCGTCGGATCAATATTCACCAAATCAGTAATATCTTCTCGCATCGTTCCATATTTTTATTTCTCCTCGGAGGCTCTCACGATTAAGTCTGCGAGAGATCTGTTGGACCCTCCATGTGCCGCGCTGGCATTTATTGGAGCTCACTGCACACGTCGTACGTAAGTGTGTATGTATGTATGTATGTATGTATATACGTAGAACGATTGGACACGAACGGATCTAATCGGACAATCGCGCGTTCAAACGTTTTATACGGTGAATTATGTACGGCGTATTTGATTTTTTTAATACAAATACGAAAGTGAAAAACTGCAAATTGCGAGCAAAGAAATATAGAAATGCGGATTAAATAATGAATTAAATTATTAGTTAATAAATTTTTAAACAAAATATCCGGAAAACATTTGTCGAATACAAATGCGCATTATCACGATAATTGACCTTTAGAGATCGCGCGATCACTTATACAGACAAATAGTAAAAAAGATATAAAGTGGTGCACAGTGACGGTCCAAGGCAGTTACTTGGTTCCACAGTCGATCATTTGGAATTCGGTGCTCGTTTCCAGTTAGGCTCGGTCTCGGTGAAACGCCACGCACGCAATTTGCGGACCACGCCACGGCACAGCAAAAATCAAACGGATACGCGACACGAGTTCTATTATCACGACGATGCAGAACGCTTTATATTTCAAAGAACCAAGGCCGACAAAGTAGCACAGACCGCGGTTTGATCCGAACTGACGACGAGAAGCAAAGACGAAGGAACAATGCCGTGGTCGTTATCGATGGCAAACGTGGTAACACCACGATAGCGTCGAGTCTCTGGCAAATGACGAGAGGTCTCTATCTTCGAGTTCGGAAAACTGCCGGAGAGAAGATTCGAGCGTTAAACACGACCGACTCCGATGGCGAGCAGCGACGAACGAGGATGCGCTCGAGCGCGTAGCCTGTGCCGCACTCTCAGTTTATCCCCACTACCAACTATGATCGGCATCCGGTGGTAACTGAGGCGCGCATTCGCAAGCATTTCTGCTCGCTGATTGGTGCATAGCCGTTGCTACTTGGCCTGCCATTGGTCGATTGCACACCACGAATTCCCGCGGCGTTCACTATCCATGGGACACACAACACACACGTAGGAAGCACACGAGGCCACTCTCGATCTTACACGAACGATATTCAGCGAGGACACCGCGCACACGACTATCCACGTACACATACACAAACACACACAACTGTACATGTTTGTATATTGTACACACGTGCATGTATATTACTACTTGCGAGCTTTTGTACGCACACGTATAGACGGCACCGACGTATTTTTGCGTGCGCATGTATTGGAAGATTCCGCACGCCCGCGCTTCGCTACGGTCGTATGATGGTCGAACAGGAACTGGCTACAAGCCGCGCGGAAACGCGCTACTTATGCTGCCGATGGGAAGAAAACCGACGAATCAAGGCAGTCTTTATACCCGCCGCCTTTGGACTCCATGCTACAGGTCCAAAAGGCCATCGTGTAGTATACGCTTCTCAAACGTGAATACGGAGATGGACGTCAGCCAATCCCTTTTCCTGCTATGCGCAAAATCATGAAAAATATTTAGCCTAATAGCGTCTATGCGAATTTGTCTTTTTTCCTTACCAGTGTTCGCTCGAGGATGTTCCAATAACCAGGTTACCGCGTTTTGCTATTACTACTTACGCTGAAAACACCGTCGAACCTTTGACCCATTTTTCTATCGATCTTCCATGTTTCGCATATAGGGCACACCGTAATGGCCTCCGATCATCAAAGATTCGCTCCTCCAGGTATTTCAACTCCTACACATTGATCACGTGTATTATCCATCGCCTTTTTTATTCGAAAAGTAAAACCATTAATCGCGTAATTCTAATTTCAGAGATCTACGTAACCATTAGACGCACGCACGATCGTTGATGTTACGTAACGCGCGATATTCCTTAAAACGACTGGAATTATGTAAATAATGTAATGTTTTTTCTCTTCGTTTGAAACACAACAAATCGACAATTAAAAACATAAAAGCGTAATATCGTTATACGAATGCAAAAGTCGATGATCACATATTATCCGAGAACACGAGAAATCGGAGAAAATAAAAATTTGCCAATTGACGTTAGCAAGTGCAAAGAAGAGAAGATTAGACATTGAGTTAAAAATTGAGTCGATCTTTACTATCCAAACATTAAATGCGAGAGAACGGTGCTACGCGAATAGCGGTTAGTCGATTAACGAAACTCGCGCGCACAGGGAAGAGGAAGGGGTGGTGGCTCGGTAGAACATTGGAACTCGACTTGGTCGTCCTATTTCTACGCTCGGGAAGGTTCGTGCCGCGAACCGATCGCGCACGAAGCAACGGGGATATAAGTAGGTCGTTTCAAGCGCACGTGTCGTCCTTGACTCACATAGCATGGCGCGCAGGCGCTCACCGTTGCCGCATTGCTGGTCGCTAGGGCTTTTTCTTTGTTCGTCGAGCGCGCGTGTGTTCGCGCGGAACACCAAGACGCGCTCTCTTATGAATACACCGTGTGCGTGACTATTGCTCACACGCACTACTCTATGCACTCTGCAAAATGAGCCAGCGGCTTCACGTCATCTATCTATCGCGTCCAATTTTCTCTACTATGCTTTTACCACATGAATTTATTTGTTTCGATTAATTATTTCCAGAAGCTCTTACCTTTTTATACGTTAACTCGTTTGAAAAAGGGACGTTAACCAACAGTGCAGCGACTGAGATAGGTACGTTAAAACGTTCGATTCTTTCTTTGCATCGTTTCTTTAGCGAGACTGTTCGTATACAAAATTTATTTCCTCTTACGTAACGCGGCGATAGAAGGTTCAAGAAAGTGTCACGATAGAGGTAAGGAAATTATATACCTGCGTGGATTCTCGAGAGAAGGGTTAAGGCTCCAATAATCTTGCTCTTTGATCAAGCACGTAAAGGATTCTGTGGATGGACGAGCGATATAGTGCGAGGTCGAGACAATGGTAAGGCGGCGCGTTGTGCAACTTTCAAGGAGAATGAGCAGCACGCGTGTCATGCGTTCCTGCGTGTTCGTGGACGCATATGCGCACGCTCGATGATAATCGACAGAAAGAGAAAGGTCATCGGGGGAATGGAGTTTCGCTTCCTCTTCCTCGTTGCGATTACGAGTAGGTAAGCGGGTATCCGAAATTGCGGAGAGTGACGCAACGCGCAGCTGTATGTATAAATTCACGTACATACGAGCATTCACGGACACGTAGTGCTTGCGAGTGTGTACATTTACGTGCGTGTACATACGTAGATAAAGTACTGGATATGCCGGCGGAAGCACGGTACTGCACGACAACGAACTACGTTTTTCATGCAATTAAGAATTCGTCCAGCAGCTGCTTTCGTTTAAATTAAAATATTCGATAGCTTTTATCGCATTATAGGTTCAAAAAATAGATCGCCTCTGGGAAATAAAGGCATTACATATATATAAGAATTCGCTATAGGTCTTTCGATTCTTCGTATATGAAATTTCAATGAAATTCGATCCGAATGGGATATGTAACTTGCATTATTAACGCTGCGTTAATCGATACGATCATTTTTTCTTCGAAATTGCATAACCGTGCGGCGATTACAAGGAATTCTAGCACATTCTGTGGTAAGTTGGTATGTATCGCGCGGTTGATGGGAGAGCAGACTTCGTGATTCGCTGTATAGCCAAGGACAGTGACGCTTCACGATGAGACCTGTGTGAGAAGTCGGTAGTCCGCGTTAGCTTTGGCATCGTGGGTATTGATCGCAACGGGAACTCAAAGGGGAGGACACCACGTTAGGCTATTCGAACCCCAATTGGATCGACCTATCTCGTGGTAGGGAACGAAGGGGAGGGTGGTTGCATCGTGGTCTATGTCAACCAAACACTTATATTTTAATTCCGTTCTTATACGTGGAAATTATCGAGTGTTGGTTTACTCGTGTACGACCGAATCGCGACGCATTCTTGTCAGATGTATTTTTGGCGTGCGCGTTTCGCAGAAATTTATCGAGGATTTCAGTGCGATGATTGCCGTTACTTACAAAGACCTTGGGCGTTCATTTTTCTCAACGGGGAAATAAACGATAGCAGTGACCCAAATTTTTTCAACAAACGACCGGGTTTGTGTAATTTCTGCCGACACTTTTCGCCGCGTTATGGAAATAATTAGCGCGAGAGACGCGAAGAATTCACGACCTCCGCTTGATAAACGCTGGACACGCCATCGTGCGTGGCTATTACGCAACACGATTCTTTAATAACAATACATCGTCTCTACAATGAAGCAATTATGATGAAGTAAATGCGAGGAGAAACAAATTAGGAATTATATACATCTGATAAATATGTACGTTGTGTATGTATGCTGTGATCTACCTACGCGGAGGATGTTCGAATGTTACTGACAAATATCTATCGTGTGTATAACCTCTGTGAATAACCTATGTTAAAGAAAGAAAATTGTCTCGGTCGATGAATTAGGCAACTATAACTCGAGAGAATATCCAATACGGTTCCGAGATACTCTACAAATTAATTTTTTTCGAGGAGTTTACATTTTCGACGAATTACTGACGATGAAACGCAAATAAAAATATACTTATGAGCGGGAGACATGCGCGAAATAGTTCGCCATTTACAACGGCCAATAAAGTTCGGAGAAGTCGCGTCGCGGTGTACCGATCCGATTTAACGCACATACTTTTCTGTTGTTAGAGGTAGCTCGCATGCCAACGTTCTTCAGATAAGCACATTCTTATCTGCGTACGTACTTACGTAAGCAACGCCTCGTATAAACCTTTGCTTGGCTTCGCGCCCCTTTTTCTTCTTCCGTCCTCTCCCTGCATTTGCAACTTTTTCTCCTTCGTTTCTCTCGCGTTTTGTTTCTTTCTGCTTTCCCTCTTTCGCGTTCCCTTTCACCCTACACGTTTCAATCTTCTTCTTCGGTACACTTCACTTCAGAATAGTATTTCACTGTGAAACGTAGCTCCTTCTCCCACGATTTCTTTCCACTGCTTCCTTTCTTTCGAATATTTTCCTCCATTTTTCTCTCTCGTGACAGTCGATCGTTCGCGAAAGTACGCGTTACGTCTTTGACAAGTTCATTACTTTAAAAGAGGTTAGGAATCGAATCGGTTCCGAGCTCGGAAGATTTAGATAGCGAAGGTTTGGTTAGTGTATTCTGATGCGGAATAGTCACGTGGACTGACGCGTGCTGGAAACAGCCAGAAGATGCGAAAGGCGTGTTCTTATCGAAACGCTAAACTGCATCTTTTCATGCACAATTGCGTCATGATTCATACTGTCGTTAAAAATGTAAAATGTTTCACGATGGCGATCGTAGTTCCCTTCGTTCGTATTACTCGTGGTTAGATAGGTTACACGTAGTATTGCAAATATCGTTAACTTCGAATCCAATCGAAAATTTCGAAAAATACGAATATTATAGAAGCGAAAGGATGCAATTTCGTCGAATGAAACGACGTGTTATCGCGCATGATATCGATTGACCCGTTCTAACTGCAATATTCTGACGCGTAAAATGGTCGTTGCGAAAGACAGAAGGGTAACCGAGCAGATGGTCGGAATGGCTCGTCGCACGATCTCGCCGTTATCGGTGGATTGGAAATGAACCACGCGCAAGTAAATACAAGTTGGAAAGTGACGATCGTTGCTGATTTATCAGCGGAACGCCGCGCATTCGAGGAAGCCGAGGTAAATCGACGAATGAACCTTGGGGCTCTTGTTACTTGCTTCGTTCCTTTGTTACACAACCGGCTCTCTCGCCAACTCGGCCAACTATCGACCCCACCAACTTTGTTCTCGCTCTGCTCCCCTTTTCTTCCGTCTTCTAGTGCTCTCTCTTTCTCTCTCTCCGTCTCTTTGTCTCTTTCTCTCTCTCTCTCTCTCTCTCTTCCTCTTTCTTGGGTGAACACTCGCTCTTTTCTCTCTCGTGCTCCCCTCAGTCTCTTTTATTCCAACCCCATCTTTCTATTCCTTCCTTCCTTTTTTGACAACCTCCATCCTCCGTCCTTTCTGTTGTCTGTCCTTTCTCTCTGAACCTATTCCCCTGTGTCACGTACTCACTGTCAAAGTTAGGCGTTATTGAAAGAAACTGGCGTACGGACAATTATGAAAATAAAGCTTGCGCTTAATAGAATATTTGGTGTCCTTCGATCGATCATCTCTAGGATCAAACGATGCATAGGAAAAATGAGAATTTTCTATTGAAATTTCATTCGTTCAAGTGGAGCGCCGTTTTGAGGTCAGTGTGACAAAGGAGATATCAAGATCGTGTTCTCTTTTCAAGATCGTCTGTATATTTTTAAATACATAAATGCTATCTTTAAATACATGAATGTTTAATTTTCTGGCACTCGGATTGAAGAAAAGCCAAGACTAAAAAAAGTGTGTTCCGCAGTGCGGCTGTCGTATCCCACGAAATTTGTCAACCTTTGTACGTACGTACAACATAGCTTGGACGCTATAGCAGGAGCGCGAACAGTTCGATTATTAAATTATTTGAATACTCGTTATCTTGGTTAGCGTGTACTCGTTACGTGGTTGGACAGTGACATGAAATACGACATTTTTCTGTCTCGTTGCGACATTACCACGATAAGTGGAAGTTTTTAAATCCGAGAACGAAGATACATTCGTCTCCGTTATTCTGGCAACCAAAGCGTAATTTGTAATTAGCGCGTAACAGCGGCAACACGTTTAACGTTACATTTCCACTTCTCTATGGAAATTCCAATTTTCATTGATCGTCCGATTTACTCGAATATTTGCCTGAGACGCGAGATATAAAAAATCCCACATGCTTATATAGAATTCTGTGTTCTTCGTTCGCCCTGAAAAATTCCATTCTTTTTCGCGATTCGCTCCAGCTTCCCCTTCGCCAACCCTCTGCATCTTGCGCGTCTCTACCCTCGCTATCTATTTCCGTCTCTCTCCATCGAGTTTCTTCTTTACGATTTCGTCAAGTTGCCACCCATTCTTCCCGAATTTTCTTCGTTGGCCTCGAACATGTCTTTCCCCCTAGGTCGGCTTTTCTGTCCCTCACGGTAATCTACGTCCGTCTTTTTTTCGTGAGCGTCTGACGGACCCAAGGGACGCGTGGTGGGGGGCCACGTGCTCCCGGTACCTAGTCACGCGAGGATAGGACACGTGGTACGTACGTATGTCCGTTCGGATGCATAGGCGTGGAAACGTGTTCTTTGTTGGAGCCGCGCAGCCGCCTCGTCTCGCCTAAGTACACGCGTATATACGTACACGTATCTAGATCACGTGGGATTTTCCACGAAAGTTGATGCAGTCGGAACGCGACAGCCGAAAAACACGTCGATGCTTAAATGTCGCATTGCGAAAAAAAGGAGCATGAGATGGTGCTAGCACACTGCTGCCTGGGCTACGTACTTCGATTGTACGATCTCGCGTGCCCAATGCTTAAGCTTGAATTTTCAAAGAAGAAGAATACGTTTTACGGGAATTATGAGATATTCTCGGTAGCTTTTAAGGCTACCAGGAAGAAGCAAGTTTCTAAACATTTGCAATCCGATATCAATTTTTTCTACAGATATGTACATTTCGTACCAGATAGATCGTCACATGCTCTTGAATGTGTCACCTTTTATCTTATCACGGGCAACACGTGTATGAGTATAAAAGCAAATGTTGTAGTTTTATTCGTGCGTGCGATCGGTTTACACGTGCGTCAGCTACGAAAAGAACGTTCTACGCGGTTATCACTTTCATCGTTTCCTGCTTTGCCATTATACGTTCGAAACATCGATGCAGCTTAGCGTGCAGCTTAAGCTCTTCAAAATCTGATGAAAATCTTTCTATGTTATTTCGAACGTCGCTGCAAGACTCGATCCTGCAGGAGCTTGGAAAAAGAGTAAACTATATGAAAAAAGAAGAAAAAAGGGAATAGTAAAAAAGAGCGACGATAGAATTCTAGTACTCGATTGTTAATCGAGTGGTTGGTTGTCGGCCGTGCACAGCGGCTGGCTGGCCAGCTGCACTTGACTCTCCTATGCAAGATAAATAGGTGCGGCTGGTTCCTATTAATAGCGGGTGGTTTACGCGGCGATTGCAGTGTACGGGCTTACAATTAGCGTAACTCGCCAGCGGTTCGCATTAGATTAAAAATCATTCGTGCTGTAAATTCTATCCACTTATGTAATGATATCCGTGCAAGTATAAAAGAGTTAGCGAACATCTTGCTACACAGTCCGTTCACTCGTCCACTGGTTACGGTACGGAGGAAAAACCGTGAAACGTTGAAACGCAGTGGCAGCGCTTTCGAAACGATAATTTACGACGATGGGTGGTAACTCGAGGACCTATAAAATCTCGCTAAAATTCTAAAACTGGTCCCTAAACACCTGTTTTCTATCTCTGACACTCGATCTCTGTTTCGTAAATGTCGATGCTCGTTCGGCTGACGATCGAACACTGTGTCAGGAAGTAAGTTGTCCGTGTTGTTTCTATGTATAAAACGTATGGCGAAATTCAGCGCGTTAAACGGAGGCACGAAAAGCGGATAAAAGGCGGCCGAGGAAAAAGAGAGAGGGACGGGATTAAAGGCGAAGCATCGAGTACGTGATAATGTGCGTTTGCTCGATAAATCTCTAATCGATATACGTGTTTCGTATGTGCATTGTACTATTCGAGCTTGAACTAGGCAAAGAGCAGAATGTAGGCGAGAAACGAGGAGGAGGTGTGGAGGTGGGGATCAAACAAAATCCGGTATAGGCGGGCAACGACCTTTAGGCACGTGCCCCGTGCCACGTGCTGCATTCGACAAACTGTCGAACGGCCTTTTGCCTTTTTTATCTCTGTTCGTTTCTGTTTTCACCTCGTTTCGCTTAAAATTTTCGTCTGGCTCCGTGTTATCTCGACCGCGTCGCGATTTCCTTTTATCGACCGTACCGTAATACGAAACAGGACCGGTCCAGATACTGGCATTCGCTATTTATGGCCGTGTCAGTATCGAAGAAAGAGGTTGAAACTGCGTCCGGAGTCTGTAAATAGTCAACTCTGACAATCTCCTTGCCTCTTGTTCCCCCCTCCCCCTCTGTTCCTCTCTTTCGTACGCAATACTATCGCGTACTATTTCTGCACTGCTCTTTGTTGTGATAGAAGAGAAAACGAAGGAAAAACGATAACCGAGAACGTAGAAGCGGAAAAATTTGTCTTGCGATAGGTCGAACGTAATTGGCGTAATCGAGTCGTGCGATCGTAAGATCGTTGCCAATCGAAAAACTGCCGATACTCTGCTCTTCGTTCGTAGTATACGCGTACAGCAAACTTACGAAGGCTTACGAAGATACTACGGCAAGTGCAGTGTTATTAATTATCGCAAGTTATTAGCAATAAGCGCGATTAATCATGGTTTTCAGGCTTTTTCACGGTTTCTTTGCTTTTGCTTTTATGGTCAGCCTTTTATGGCCCGTTTATTCCGTGCAACGCGGATCAAAGGATCGACGATATCTCAGCTACTCGGAAATCGCTTTCAATTTAAAATATGGAGAATGTTATCGTTTAACGAGCGCTAGACGTGCATGGTAAATTGCAGACGATGAAACTAGTTCTCAAGTTTTTCATATCGTTATCTTTATGTACTGGCGGATTATATGGGCGTGAGTTGCGTGAAAGATAATAGCTCATTTTCCAATCTCGCGATGCGATAAAAGATACAAGCAATTAACATTACATAATTACACGTGGAGAGGGATTAATTCATAGGTGTAATATTTCTCTACGCTCGGTTTTCCATCTATCAAACACGTTTCCAACCTACGTAAATAACAATGGAAACGAACGAAGCTAAGAAAAATCCTCCTACCAAGGCAAGTTTGTTTTCGAAATTTAAAAATAAGCGCAAAAGGAAAAAAAAAAGAAACAAATACGTTACGTAGAACGATATCGCGATTTAGCCGGAGACGCGCAATTATTTGATATCGTTGATAAAATAAACGTAAGATTAATCCTTTCCTATGGCTATATGTGTTTTTATCTTGTGTTGTATAACGCCTTGTTTGAATATTATTCGAGCGACAGATGGACTTTTTAACGACCTGAATGACGTGCAAGAGCAAAGGGACAAGATTTATGTTTGAGCAACGATAATCGTTAGAGATCAGCAACCATCGTATCGCGCAATTCGTACTACGTTTCCCAGAATTATATCTTTTCGCATGTCCATCCGAGGATTTCGTTTCTTCTTTCGTTTCAATTTACACGCGTTGATCGTGCAATTAAAATACATTGACCCGTTAATATCGCCAATAACAAGAATTTCTCTTACGGACAAACGCGATCCTCTTTTCCATTACGCGTAACGATTGCAGTTAAATGTGACCGATTTTAGAACAATCTATATCTATAAATACAAAGCGAGCGAGTGAATTAGCGGCACTGTCTATCGATCGATCATCCAGCTATTTAACACGGACACATAAGGCTCGTTCGCCGATGGAACGAGTCGCTCGTTTAACGCTGCAACTATCGCACCAGTCAAATCGACTGGTTTTACAATTTTATTTTAAAATTTCTGCTTCATGTTATGTTTCTTCCGCGATGATGTAATGGCTTTCGCAACGGCAACTAAAATGAATTTTATTTTGATTTTTATGTATTCAAACCGAGAATAATTTTGTGCAGAGGCTACTTTATACCAAAACCAGTCAAAATGACCGGCAGTTGTCAAAGTGTAAAAGGATCTTGCGATCTGTTTATCGAACCCCGATTAACCAGTTTACAATACCAGATTACGTACAACGTGCCACGCGTTTTTCACATTTTTACTGCGTATCACTCGATACGACGATATCGGTTATCAGGAAAATTCCCGATCGATCGCTGTATCGCTGGATGCTAACGCTAGAAATACCACGGCAGTCAAAATGACCGGTTCTACAGTTTCATAAATTTGTCGACCCTCGTTTGGGTATGATAATCCCAGATGGATTCGTAATACCAAAAATGTACTACGCAACATGGAATTGCTTCTGTAAGAAATATAAAAATATACAAATATTCTTACGTGTTTTTTTAAAGACCAGTGATTTAGGAACGGCTCCGTGTTAACTATCGGTAGTTCTAGTGTTAAACGTTATCTGTTCGACAAAGTGTACCGATGCGAATTTGAAAAGTGGAAATTGCCAGCGAGCGATAAAATATGCACCAGCAAACGACGATACATTTTTCCGCTGGTAATTTGAAAGGAAAGAGGCCCGGTGACTGTGGCAGATGCTCTCTCGTGCGAGCTAACTTTCATTGAATTACTTTTACGAGACAGCAGGCTCGATAGGATGGCATCGGTCGCGAAACAATAGGAGAGGAACGGCTGACATAAGATGAGCAGCTCGACAAAATATGTATGTAGTTGGCCTGTGTCGGTGGCCTCGCTCTAGAATCACTGTAGATCGCCATCTAGGGCGACGAGGACGCGGGCAGAAGAAGGGCAAGGAGGGCTGAGGTCAGCAGTACAACGATGTAGCTGCTGTACCAGCTCGATACGAGCTCTGACCCATTTGGCAAAGTTCCCGAGTTCGGGCCACGGGATTTCCCTCTATGAGATCACCAATTTAATTTTTCCATTTTTTATTCTACCCCACTCCCCACCAAGCCCACCCTACACCATTTCTACTTTCCCATAATTCACGCACGATGAAGCATCGTGGGAAAACGATCGCGCGTATTGTTATCGTGGAGCTGCTACTTCTGCCTGTGTGTGGTCATACGTCGAAGACGCTTTGAAACAGCCTGATACGCAAGCAGGCTTTTGCAGGCTATGTAGATTGCTCTATGACCGATGCGTCTGTAAATATCAGAATTGCTAGCTTCCAAACTGCTGCTGCAGTCTGTTCGCTATCATCGTCATTGTAGACAGCGTGTTCTTGTCGAACATCGCGTGGGACGACGTTTTTGGCACGCTTCGCTTTCCAATTAGTCCGACACACGAGGCAAGAATTATGCGAATATACCAGGTATTTCGTAATTGGATAGCGGCTTAATAGGCAGCGGATATTTAGAAAGCCGCATTGCCATGGCAAACGTTTACTCGATGCGCCACGAGGTATCTCGTCCACGTAAATCCTCCAATTCGTGGTATTTCGGGTAAATGGAAAAAATTGGCGAATTTTGGAGATATCTTTGTCAAAGGACAAAAGGCAGCAGCTGTACGTCGGTAGAAGCGACTCTAATTAATATTCTAACGTTGCTTAAATACCCGGCTTATCCGCGTCCTCTTTAACGAAGGACGCTACGAATGAAATTGGAGCATCGAAGCCACGTTGCAACTGTTGCCAGAAATCAATCGCCGTTTCAGCTTTAATTAATGGAAATATGGGTCAGCCGCGTTCGTAGAAAATTCAACGGTGGGAAAAAACTGTACAGCTATTTTCTTCGCTGTTTCTTTCGTGACCTCAGACCGAAACTAGACCACGCCAAGTTTTTGGTAAATGTGTCAACCACCCAGGCTGCGATCAATACTTGCGCCCTGGTTTCTCCTCTTCTTGTTTCCCCACTCCTTGCTCACCCTTACCCACGATCCTCCGTTCGTACGTCCTTCTTCCCTTGCTCTCTTACACCTTCCACCTCGATCCGGCTCCTCTCGCAACCCCTGTTGCAAAGCTTCTAGCTACAACGTTTCGTCTCACTTTTCACCGGGATATAGCTTCCGCGACGCGTCTTTAATCGCTGATACTGTCGTCAAGCTGATATGATCAACGGATAGTCGGCTAAATTACCATCGATTTTCCCTCGCAATTTTTCCTCGTCGAACCAATTTTAACCACGTCGAAGGAGAATCTCGTCTCGTTCGACCTGTTCCAACGTATCGCGTGTCACTATCGTGCTACGTTATTTCCAAATTTCTCGATAAAATGCAGATTGTCGTGATGTGGACGTAAACTTGAGGATATTTGGAACTCTCGAACCGCTTTCTATTTCGTCGACCGATTTCCTATCGAGCCGGTAGAGTCGCCGAACCGGCCAGTGTTTTCCTGCATTGGCAAAATAAAATCATTCTGTTTGCAAAAATAACAATTTACTGTTATCCGTCCCCTGTTGCCTGTGTTCCTGCTGTTTTCAGCGTATCCCTCGGTTACGCTGTATCCTCTCCCTCGATGCCACCTGCCTCCTGCGAGGGGATAAATAGCGCAGGGTGGAAGCTCAATAGAGAGATGAGGAGGCAAAGGGAGCAACATTTCAATGGGGCAAAGGGAATCGAGCCCTGGATTCATCGCAACCGAGCGCGCATGCTTCCGACCGAAATTCTCTTCGCACCCCGCAGCTACCTACTCTTCTAACGTGCATCTCTCCTCTATTCTCCTTATAGAGCGTTTCAAAACCTGGCGTCCAAATTCCTTGCCCGCGATAAATGATCTCGCACTGTCGCGACCTGTACACCTCATTTACCTCTTTTTGTGTCTTTTACTCTTCTTCGTTGGAGATTCGATGTATCGTGTTTGATGCTCGTGTTTGATCCCTTGCGTATCAGATCGACGCGAAATGAGAAGATCGACAATTCACGTTGCCTCGATGATCGCGCGTCGATGTCAGAAAACTTGGCAAAAATTGTTCTACAATGAGAAGACAGAAAGAGCGAGTGTTTCGTCCAAGATCTGCTAGTGTGCACTCTTCGATAAGGTTGTCACCTAGCAGACTTATACCTTAGACACAACGAGAGAAGACAGAAAGAGCACAAAGAGGAGAATAATTGCGTTTAAAAAGCGCGTGGAATCGACACGAGGGATTGGCGTGAAATTCGCCTGGAAATTTTATTTTTGAAAATCGATGAAATATGTACGTGTGTAGGTATTGCACTGTGACATATTGGACTTGGTATTTCCAATCTATTAAAAATGCAGCATAGAGAAGCGTCTGACGCGAGATAGCCAAATGAAAGATGCAAAGTTTCTTCGTTAGTCACTCGCTGCATTTTGTCTGCAATTTTATATATAATAATGTGACCCAGATGAGCAAGTATCCGTGCAACTTGCCTATTTTTATCCTTCGAACGTTCTTATCGGGGATAGACTTCTTCTCGATGGCGACTATACAAATGGATTTGCATATGTTAGCAAGAATAATTTCTCCGCTCGATAAAGCCTCGATCTTGACATTTCGCCGTATCGTTTTACAATCGATACTTTTATTTGCCCGTGCTGGCTTTCAGACCATCGTAACCTGACGTTCCGTACGTTATCGCGGTGACTCGAGTGCCGATTTTATGTAAAATGCAAGGAATCGCGTAGTCAACAAGTTTCGCTGCAACCGATAATGAGGCTCGTTATTTGCCGGATTGTATATTTCAAGACGTTGAAATTCGAACCACGATACGATAAAGAGGATCGCGAAACAACTTGATATTTCATTTGATATTCCAGCGCGATACACGCGAATGCGATGCAAATCTTACGAACGAAATCGTATCGAATCATTGGCGGCATATCGTTAACTTCTCATCAAAAATATCTAAAAGTGGTAATCGACCTCTTCGTAACGCCTACTCTTCGTCTTTTTCTTCCTTTTTCTTCCCTTTCTTTTTCAAGCGCAAACTCATCGATTTCTGGTTTCAAACAAACGCCATACACAATGCCATTTCCACTCGATAAACGAGCATCGCTGCCTTAAGAGCATTGTACGATACACCGTCGAACGATAACGTAGCGAATCTTACCGATAGTTGCTAATTAGAAGTGGAACGCGACAAATACGAAAACGTTGGCTCGCTGACCGGAAAGGTGGTGGAAATGTAATTGCGATTGGATATCCAGCACATCCAGATCGATCGAGGTTGCAGTTCGTAAACTAACCGGCGCACCAGGTTTCAGGTCACTGGGTCAACCTTTCCATCGATCCAACCCCACCATTGAAAATTTAGTTGCTTCGGGTACGCTCGTCCTCAACGCTGAAAGCTGCACTCTTCATCCTATATTCGCGTCATACCTTCGCGTCATCACACCCACTACCACGCCTTCGCTCCTCCTC